GAGGATTTTTCCCAAAAAAAATTTGTTTCGTTTTTACTAAATTTATTCCATACTTCCATCTAAATACAACAGTGCAAAAAAGAAAACAAAAGGAACATTTTACTGAATAAATAGAACAACAACTAGAAGTGCTTTCTAGTAGTTCTTTAACGAGTGTCAGCGTATAGCTAAATTTATTTTATCACATATTTGAGTGACAGACGCCCAAATTATAACACAGGTTTTAGAATTTAATTATCTTCAGTTGTTCCTGAATCAAGTCGAATTCGCAAAAATGGCGAATGCGCCAATGTAAAAATTTTTAATGCAGTAAGCTTCTATTTCGAATATTTCACAATTTAAATAATAGAAAATAAACAATTACACATTTATCTGAATATAACAAATATATAATTGGAGGATAGCCGCATAGTTCTAGTTAATGCAATAAAACCAAAATGAATAAGGCTGATGTACTTATATTTAAATTTAGGATAATTTAACAAAAAAATCAATATTATAAGTATTAATCAATTTTGGTGATCTCGTTTTTATTAAGTATAGTTGGGCCAAGCTTGATTGTTCTTGCTTCATGATATTAAAAAAAATTCTCTCTGGTTCCTAACTAGAGAATTAATGTTTATAAAATACATAAATATGACGGACATAATCCACCACACTACACCCTGGTAGAACTTTAATTAAAAATTGCTAGAACTGAGCTGAACTAGAGGGAGAAAATGATACAAAACAAAATTGTATGCAAATTTGCATGCCCGATACATACTTTACACATTTTTATTTTTTAATAATTTTATATGCCTGTAGAAACTTACGTACTTTAGATTGAATAAAACTCTTTTTAGTTTGACAAAAAAATTACGGACAACAAATAATATTCTTTACTTTACTTTACCGGCTTAGGTTTTAAAATACTATAAGTATGGCGACACTCCTATAAAATCCTTGTCTTCCTTATAGGGTCAATACAAAGGCCAGATTCAGTGACCAAAAATATGTAAAAATGGCATGGTCTGCTTTATAATTTTTTTTTTTTGTGGACTTTTATTAACAAGCGTATTAGGTTAAAATAAATATCACACTCATGCCGTGTTATCTACAATACGCAATTTACGCTCTCGTTTTATAAGAGCTTTAAATCTCTCCTGGGACTTACTGTTTCCGATTATTTTGAGCTTTTTTTGAAGACAGCAGTCCATGAGTATAATTTAAAAAGAAAACATACCCAACGTTCGGGGAATGTGGATCAAAGCTAATTTGTTGCTCTAGCTTTTCCAAAGCTAAGTTTCGAGTTTGTATTTTCAACTACCCTTGCCATCTTTAAAGGAGCGTAAACCCTTAGAAATCTTTACTCATATAGAAACGAAATGTTATTCTTATACCCTTGTTTTTTTGACGAAAGGAATAATTTCTTAAAGTTTGTCGTAATAACGCTGTTGCACCCCCTATTTGATCTGACTTTCTACAGAACTGCCAAGTTCTTATAACTCAACAATCTGTCTTTATGAATATATCAGAAGTATATGACTGTTCGTATTTTTGTTTTCACAATTTTGCTTTTGAAAAGGGATTAGATAGTCTGACAGTAATATCAGAAGTTGAGGCCGTGAAATCTGGCGTTTAATATAATTTATCACATTTGGTATAACCCGTTGCTAGATCATACAGAATGTACGGATTCCCATTCTTCAGGCTACTGACCAAGATTAATTGATATTAATGTTGACATAGTTCCAAAATCTCTGGTAACATAGGAATAAAATCAACATTGATATATGCTTATGCAGGTGATACAGGCAATGTCAGAGAATATAAAGATTTAGTGAATGTAAATGTGATGACAGTGTCGGAAAAAAGAATTTTGTGGTACGTTTTTTTAATATTTAATTTTAAGGATGATATATTTGAATAAAGTGAAAAAACTCTTGTTCTAATATTGTTTGGCAAGGTAATATAGGTACCTATGTTTTACTTATACCAGTGTGTTCAAATTCGATGTAACTCAAAGAATTCAAACCAAAAGAGTATAGAGATGTACGTTCCTGAATAGCATGTTTCTAGCAGAATGCATACAGCAAACAATTCACTTATTCACATTTTGATGTATCCACCCAAGATTATGACTACATTAAGACGAATCCTTTTGCTATGCTCATCATTTCGTGTATACGATAATGCTGAATATGCCTCAGCGTATGGGAACGAAATGGAAGAGTGGAAGATTGGGAAATGTCTGGTAAATTCGAGCTGTAAAATCGTGAAAATTAAAAGCACCCCAACTCTCTCGTTCCAGATAATGTAGTGCATAATTTCAGTAAACTATTTTTATTCCACGTTCATTTGCAATTCTTAAACGATTTTGGCAATTCTTTACGTTAATGCATTATTCATAAATATACAGGGTATCTCAAAATCACGTAACAAAACATTTAGCAAGTATTTTAATAATTTTTTTCGCAAAACCTCTTAGTTTTTATGATAATATATAATTTTCTAAAGTTTTAATTTAACCTGCCACTAAACAATAAATTGAAATATTTAGTTGATTTAATAATACACAAATAGAAGCATAAAAATACACTGTTTCTATTATATTCTATATTTAATTATTTATATTATTAATTAATTATATAATAGATTTTCCATTATAAGAATTTTTTAATTTTTTCGCTGGTACTTACAATATCATTTAAGAAAATTGTGTACATCTAAAATTTTAGTAATTAAATTAATTTTAATACGAAACAACTTACAATACCATCGTCAGCAAACGGTGGCGACCTAAAATAGTTTTCAATCATTCTTGTGTTACAAATACAAAAAAAAGTTCGGATTTAAAATGTGCTGGTTTAGCGCGCACCAGAGGTTTTACTTGTACAAATACTTATAGTACAAAGACTTTCTAGGATTGACGTGCTTTTATACCAAAGGCAACGCATTCAGTAATCCCAAAGTTCTACCCAAGTGGGTGCTGCCGATATTTGCTCAGGCAATTGTAGTTGCAAAGGAACTGATGATCTTTGGTAAACTGGAAAATAAAGTATGTTTAAATGTCGGTATACTGTTATATTCCAGTTTTGACTAATTTTACTTTAATCCCTATTTGTATTCTAAAAAATGCAAAAGCACTGCCTAATTGAAAAAGATGTGTATTTTACAATAACAAAGTTAGAGCGATAAAATTTATAGGGGACATAACTAAGACTCTAAGCTTTCCTGCCATAATTTTAAAATGACTTAAATTTATACATGGTGGTAGAAATTTAATGTCGAATTTAGTCAACTTTATACCATCTTAGCTTATTTTTTTAAATGGAACACCCTCTATATTTTGTTCTCTTTCGAATGATATAATGGTTCCCTATACCTATCTCTTCTGATTTTTTTTTACTGTTTTTCGTGCTGTCAACGGATATCCCATTCTTGCGAGGATGACTGTAAACTTTTTAATGGAACTTCAAAACAAGCGTCTACTAATCTGTCACCAGTTTATTGTTGTCAATTTAAAACATACAATGAATGTTTATTTGAGTATTATTTATTGTTAAAGAATGGAAAACGTTAACATTTATTTAAATGCTAACATTTTCAATTTATTATTTATTCATTTGTTTGTATACATAGGCGTAGATATGAAGAGCAGTTAATTCTTTTTTACCCTAACACAATTTAAACTCTAGTTACAGTTTACTTTTCATGAAGAAAAAGGTATATTAGTTTGAAGTTTGAAAAATAAACCGTTTAATAGAAAACGATATTTAAAGATAAACTTGTATGACTTTTACAGTGATAGAAATGAGTACGGATCAAAGACAAACACTTTGATTTTAACAAATATTCATATCTTAATTTCAACTTTCTAAAGTTTTTAAAATTTTTTGGTACTATCTTTGATTCACCCAAATGGGAACGCTATGTATTTATGAATGTAAAGGTATCTGATATAAGATCAAAAGAAAACTAATTATTTAAAAGAAATTAAAACTGATTTAAAATATAATAATACGTATTTCCTCTGGAAAATTATTTATAAAAAATAAGTTTTGTTCCTACCGACATCTGATTTTCTATCGAACTCGGACAAATCTCTAGCTTTTGTTGTCCAGAATAAAACGCGACCAACTTGTTAATAGCATCGGAACTTTCCAAAGGGATGTTTTTCTCTATTTTTCTTAAAATCATAAAGGACTGGTTTCCACCGGGACAAAATAGTTTTCGCTTAAATGTTATAATGAACAGATTTGTTTTACTAAATTAAACCATTAATTGCATTTTCAAACTGAATGAATTTTTAGTACATAGACAATAAAATTAATAAAACATGACTCATTAGTATCCCTTTTCGTAAATGAGTTTAGGGAATATTAATTTTCTGTTAATGAAATTCTTGTAAATTAAGAAAAAAATTCTATGTCCTTATTTAAACCACATAAAAAAGTATTTGCATATTTACATATGTAGGTAGGTAACTAAAAAAATATATAAATTTTAAAAACTATGATACGTCAGTACAAATAGGTAGGGTATAAAGAAATACGTCATTTTACAAACGGGTACAGGTGTACAACATTTTAAAATTATATGATTTGTTCATATCGCAGATTAGGAAAACTTCTATGAATAATCGCAGTTTTCTTCAATTTTTAAAATTTAACAGATAGGCATCCTTGGCATTTTTATGTGAAAACTTCTTAGAAATTCTCTGGAAACTTAGAAGTTGCATTTCATTTTCATCTAAACTTAATAGATCTTCAAATGTATTTCAATTTAAAATACACTCACAGTTTTTACCTTTTCTAAGTAGTTTATAATTATGACATGTTTCAAAATGTAACAATATGATTTTATGAAACGATTTTAGTTGCTATTTACATATCCTTTACAGTTAATAATGAAGATGGCACATTTTTTTATTTAAAAATTTACAAAACCGGTATTTGCCTTCAAATCCTACTCAGAGAATTTACTGAAGATCAAAGTATGTACTTGGTAGAGGTAGTATGAACATATTTCTGTTAAATATTATCGGTTTTCTAGTATTATCGCAAAACTGCCTGCTAAGCCCTATCTCATAAACCATCCCTGCTAAAGGTCTTGTTGCCAACAGTGACACTTTATTTTCAGAGGACTAGACGATGTAAAATAAATCACTTGGGCATTCCAGACTATGAACTTGAATGGAGTTGGGGTTTTGCGGGGGTAGTTTTCCAGGCCTGTTGATAATTGGTTTTATCAAGAAAAAGGGTAGTATAAAAACATTTTCAATAAATACAACAGAATGTGGTTCTAATAAACATGTTTAATATTATCTGAAGTTATTTGTTTGTGGTATAGTTCTCGTTTCTTTCATTATTTATTGGGTACTTTGCCACCTGTGAAAAAATTTAAAATTTAGCGAAATAAAACCCTTACGCTAAAAGAATCAGTTAATAAAAAATCTCACTCTGAAAAAACATGCCTCAACACGCCGTGTCATAGACTGTACTGGCGTTCAAAACTTTTTAATATTGTACCAATTTTACAAACGTGTTCTTATTTGGTATTTATCCGTTAGGATAATCTATTTTATATAATTTTCCTATAGCCGCACCATTTTCTTCTTACAAAAAGTAAGCTCTAACCATATAAACTCTCTCTTGATTTGTACACATGTTTTCTCTATAATATCACACATAATCTTGACACACATCGGACCGTCACTAAAAACTGAAATAAATAATTATACACTTTACAAAGACACAAAATTATATTTTGTTTCAGTACAACAGTCTACATACACACACACACATACTACTAATAAAACGAAAAATTACTAAGTATATAAATTTTACAAAGTATTTTTCTCCGTGTAACATTTTACATAGCGTTTCATTTACGCAAACCACCATAGTCCTGAACTTCTGCCGCAAGGAGACACTAAATAGTTGTCGAATAGTGTTTTGATCCTATTCGTGACCTTTGTTATCCCGATATTTGACTACATTTAGACCAAAGTTGGAGCCATCCCAATTATTTCCAACGAACATATTTGAATTGTTTTAAGTCACATGCAAAATCCCTCGTATATTACTCGCACAGTCTGCGGTTCAATTAATTTAAAACACCCCTTAGGTGCGAGATTTAACGAGCGTGTCGCCGGCAAAGTTCTACTTATTTAGATAGCGGAGAAAGTGATACAACATAAGCCCGAAATTACAAAGGTGTATGAACAACTTCTTCTAGCTTAAGATTCTTGTCGAGTGCCTATTTATTTCGTGTTGTTGAATAGGGTGATCAGTGCAAACATTAACAAGTGTATTTTTCTTTGTTTTATGGCTTTATCTGATTTATTTTGTATGTAAATAATAGTATCTGACATGCAGGATGTAACTGCGATGTTGCGTTAAATTTTCTTTCAAAATGAACAAAAAAACACTCCTCTAAATTAACACCGAATAATATTTATATTACACAATAATTAATATGCAATATTCTTCTCAATGTCTAATAAGTGTCAGTTCTTGTAAGTACAAAAACTAAGTATTACTGTATCAAAGTTTGTAAAGCTGTCATTTGACTTTACTACCAAAAATGTATTGGAAACATTTTGAACACAGGTCAGTAGTAGGTACTGCAATAATCATATTTAACTGCCCCCAGAAAGGAATTAGAAATACATTCAGTTTATATTTGGACATAGAGAAGATTCTGAATTGATGAGATTGTCGGAATTTACCAGTCTATAAGGTACATACCCCCACCTGCTTTGAATTACAATATCTGACAAATTAAAATTATTAAATAATGTAATGTTTCAAATATATCTTTATTCTGATATTGGATATTTCATTTAGACATAATTTAGGTAAGCTTTACTGAAACGCCTTCGTTATTTTTCAGCAGAACCAACTCTCGAAACAAAAATCTATATATGTTGTGCTTGAAATTACCGATGTTTGTTGACTGACATTGTATAACTTGTTATGAATAATAAAAAATATTATTATACATTACCTGTTATTGCTCGAAATCTAATTGCAATCAATTAACTATCGAATTCATTAGGCAAAGTAAGTAATTACTTGATTAGTCACCAATTATTATCAGTAATTAAAAATAAACAGTCATCATAATATCAAAATATCAATCTATGCTAAAAATATATGACACTAACAAACAAGCAGGCGGTTCTTCACTTTCGCAAAGTTAGATTAATCAAGGTTTTAGAACTTACTTAATAATATCATACCCAAGTGGATGATGTGCGGACCAAGGGGACTATGTTCCAATTAAGTCGAAGTCTTAATTAACAGTGTTTGAAGTTTTTTTATATAAAAGCGATAGCGCAAGAAATCTACGCAATAATTATCTTTATGATTTATTTCTTAAGTCAATTCATTGCAAAAATAAATATTTACAATTTTATTTAACTGTGTAATTTTTTCTGTAAAAAGAATTACAAAATTATTTTGTTTATTAATTTTTAATGTGGGCAAGGATCAACTCTTTTTTAAATAATTCTTTACAAACTAATAATCACTAGTCATTTTCTTGCAAAATTAAAATTTTTTTAAGGGAAAATTTTTATTTTAAAATTTGTTCATTTTGGCCATTTTGTATAAATTTAATGTTTTATTATGTATTCGTTATTGGAAAACGTACAATTTCTTAAATAGATATTGGAAGAAATTATCGAATTTTATTGTAATATAATTAATTAAAAAAAAATAATAGGAACAGTTTATTAGTTTTGCTAAAATCTTTAAATTATGAGGTTTTTTATTATACTTTTTTAATTGTTCGTTGAAACGCAATTTTTATGGATCATTTCTATTCTCAATTTTTTTAAGTAGCTTGAATGAAAGTTTTTCATTTTTTTAGTAAAATAAATAATATTGTTATTTTCCTTTCAATTTAACATTTTTTATTTAAGAAAACAATGTGATAGTTTTTCTTTATTAAATAAATGATGTGAAAAATGAACAATTTTTAAACATCTTTATTGGTATGAGATTTTAAACTTATTAGTTTTTTTCATTTTAACCCACATTCCATCAAAGTCCTATAATTAATTACATTTTTAATAGCCTAAACCCTACGACAGACGTGTTCTTTGGAATACCAAAGTTAACCTCCTACAGAGAATTAACTTTTTCTCTACTTTATACTCTCACATTCCAAATTCCACTAGAGCGATTCTCCGGATGCAATAAAATCAACAAGTTTGTTGTATATTAATTTTGATGATTAATTATTAATAAATCGATTGGAATTTGTCCACGTTCTTTCGTTCTCAATAGTAATGAAATATTTTAACTATTTGAAATCGAATTAGTTTGAACCTTATTAAATTAACTCCCACAAGTGGTTCAAATACTAGAGCCAAAACTTCTTTTAGTGAAGAATTATGCATCAGCCTGTATTCTCTCAAGACTTTTTTAGGGGGCCTTTCTGAAGAATTATGCATCAGCCTGTATTGTCTCAAGACTTTTTTAGGGGGCCTTTCGCACTCGACTGGATTATCCCACAGTTACTGCTGAAATACACCATATTTGCGGCAAATATATTAATCATATTACGTATATTTTATCAACTCAACAAGTCATAAGCATCCCAGTATCATTTTCATTTGGGAGACGGAACCGTAGTAATTAATTTAGGAAAACGTGTATTTCAATTACTCCAGAACTTCCCTGTGGGAGGAAACAATAAACATATCCAATAACGTTAAAGGAAGCAAAAAATTTCGAACAACAACTAAATATAGACGGCCGGTATGAAAAGAAGAGGTGGGACCGGTGTTGAAACAGAAAAATCTAAAATTAAACCCAGTAAATTTAAATGGAGTGATCTTCTGAAAAATTATTAGGTAGCGCTTTGCCGAACAAATTCGGTCCACTAACACCTACATCGTGGAAAGGTTTTTTTAATGGACTAGTCGAACAGAATAAGATAAACTGGTCCGATTTTGTTCTAATTTAGAACAAAAGGGTTAGTATGGGTTGCCTTTCTTGCCGCAAAATCCTTTACTGAGCTGAACTGTTAGGGCGGTGTACAGGGTAACCAAAACTGTGAATGAGAAATTAGGAGCAATTCATTTCCCCTTTAGAAATGTAGATTATCATCTAGCTACTCAACTGTTTCAAATCTCTTTCAGCTCAGAACGAAGTCAATGTCAGTGAACTATATGAAGGTATGCATACTTTTTTTTTAATATAATATCTATTAATTGATCGAATATTTTAAAAATATGTATAATTTCTATAGAAAAATGTATCGGCTTGTCAAGGATTAAGAAGTTGCCTCTAGTAAATTTAAGAATGTTCCTTTGTATAGGATATCCCGGAAATGGTTGGAAAAAATGAAATAGTGGAATTCTCGTTCAATGTAGTTCAAGATTTTTCATATAAAATGAAGAAATTTCGGAAGACGCCTCATCTGTTATTATTTTTTTAACATAAAATAAATTTACCACACATTTAAATAGTTCTAACACCATAAATTTCACAAAAGAATGTATAGAGGGTGTTTTAGGTGTATTTAGAAAAATTGACAGCACCCTACTAGATAATGTATCAATAGAAATTAAAAATACACAACTTGCAATAAAATGTGTTTTATTTTTTTTCTTCAAAAACGGTGCATCCTGCGAAAAAAATTGATAGCGGATTTCTAAAAAAATATCAAAACGGGAAGAGTCAGTGGCACACCATTTTTTTATTAAAAAAGTTTGTGGCATTCTCGCACGGACGCCACTGGTGCAAGTGGCGTCCGTGCGAGATTGGCGGATCACCCCAAAAAATGCACATTAACCCTCCAAAGCGTTTTTCAAATTTCGAGTCCATATCTTTAAATCTCTGAAATAATTTAAAAAAATAAATAAATAATTAAAATTTAAACACTCTGTATCTCGGAAATAAAGCATATTTCGACCTACGTTAATGTAAACTTTTTTACAAAATTACTTCGGCAACCACCCCCTAAAATATTTCGCACTTATTGACAAACACCCTGTATAGGAATTTTGAAAAATATGGAAATAGAAGAGAAAATTTGTCTTTATCTGATACTGGTTTTTTCATCTATTTCACTTTTTCGTATATCTAAGTACAACCCCACCAAAATATGTGATATTTTGTAAATTTACAACTTTGAAGTCAATTGATTTCTATATCTCTTAGCAAGGTATTCATGTTCTTTATGTTATAAACCAAAGATAGAAAAAGCCTATTGATCCGTTTCACAGAAAATTAAATTTGAAATGTAACAAGCTGTTTTCAAATTGACCGCGTCAGGAAGAGAAAGTTATATAAAGATACTTTTCCGATATGAGGCGAACATAAAAAAGTTTTTATATGGAATTATATTTAATAAAGTTGTGACCAACAGTAAGTCACATTAGATACTCCGTAAGCTGTTGAATGATATACAGGGTGATCTTAAATTGTCTTCCTTTCATTTCAAGGATGGATTTATCAAATATAAAAAAATAAATTTTTTTTGGGTTAGTTAATAGTTCTGGAATCTTAATCGTATTTTAAAGTTAGGCTTGTGGTATATGTATATTAATTTACTCAACAAGTCAGTTTTACATCATCCTCAACCACTCATTCGTTATCTCTTTTTTAATTTTTGAATAACTAGGGTAAAAATGTGCTCTTGTTGATAAATCATATTATTTTTCTGGTTTACGCCATATGATGCATTTATCGCGTAATAATAAATTTCATAATTTCGATCGCATACTACTTGAAATGTTAACCATTGGCCACAATAAATATTTTAGTGACTTTTACTTATTTGTTGGTATATTGTCTTATAGTTTTAGTTTTTCTTCTATTTTGGAAGATGCAAATGAATATAATTTAACATTGATTTCAAAATCACGTTATTAAAATAAAAGGCATTCCATAAACTGCCTTGTCGAACTGTTATCTCTATATAATGTATTATGGTAAGAAGATTACGTAATCAATAAAATCTCACAATACTCTACTTAAAACAAGAAGGATGCAATTGATTGTCATTACAATATCCTGTACTGCAATACGGATTATTTCGGTGTTATCTGACTAGCGGGGAATACTAATTTCTGGATTATCTTCAGCGCAATTTAATAAAGCTTACTCCTTACGACGCTATACGGATCTCAGAACGTTCAAATTGCGTTTACGATGGAAATAACCTAGGTGTATATTTCATTCCTAGAGATAGTCTCGGGAATAATCTTCTATATATTGTTGAATTGCGATTTGGGTATTTGTCTGCATATTTTCTCGCTGGTGCAGAATTATTAAAATTTTCTTATGTCTAGACTAGACAGAAGACTTGGAATATAAACAGATTTTACTTTCTCAAAAAAAAGACGTAATCAAGGATATAAAATAAATATACCTAAAAATGATTTGAAATCGTTAAGAACAAGAAATTTAAATTTTCTGAACGATAGCAAGAGGCAATATTATGCCTCACTGAATTTTCCGGTCTGTTAATGGTTGCATTGTGTTTAAAATGGTATTTTCAAGAAAAATATACATAATATTAAAATTTTTTTTCGATACGCCAAACTCACTCTGTACATTTTAATTAATTTACTGGATCCTAATCGGGAACTCTCATTTTACAGGCCTAAGAACATGCCAAGGGGACGAAAACGAAGTCAGATTGATGCGCTACCTCATGGCAGACTACGATGCCGCCGTAAGACCCGTTCCAAACTCGTCGTTACCGCTGAGCGTTATATTTGGAGTGTCTCTTCACCACATCATTGACGTGGTAAGCAGGAAACTTGAATTATTACCCAAAGACGGTTTTTGGCGAGAGCTGCCAAGAATTATATGAGAAATCCCGTGTAGAACAGGATTTTTAGTGTTTTTCATCAAAGATAACCTCAAAGTCTTTAATATATTCCGGACAATAATTTATATAAAAGAGATTTCCTATAAGAAAATACATTAAGAGAGAGGTATTATGACAACAACTGTTTAATTTTTGAGAGATTTATTTGTAATTTCATGTAAAGTAAGATAAGATCCAGCTCTGTGACTATATCATTAATGAATGAAATATAAAAGGGAACCACGGTATGTTACATTATTCATTCTGCCTTATTATTGAGTTTTTGATACTTTTGAAAGTAGAAAACTATTCACATAAGTACTGCCGAGCATCACTTTTTTGAACACTTATTCCTCCAATTATTTTAGTATTCCAGTCCTCATTAAACAGGTACACAAACTTGGCGGCTGTAGTTTCTAGATCCTCTGTATTCCAACGAATTTAATTTAGTCTTAGAACATTTTTAATTGAAAGGGTATTGCTGATATTTTCTATAGCTTCTGTGGAGTTATGGAATCAATGAGAATAACAACGTTGTTAAAAACGCACTGAATCGTTTAAGGATATGAATGCCTTCTTTGCCCGCTTGTTCTAATTAAAATAAAGTCCTTAATCAGTGAGAGTATGTTCACATGCGCCCACAGCAATCTGTCAGCCGTGTTCCCTAATGCAGCAATCAATTAGGCACTCTATCGATTTTATGCCTTCTTAACATAACTTCCTTAACTAGGTGTAATTAAACAATTTTAAAAGGTCTTAAAGACCAGCAATATAGAAAAATGGTTAAAACTAAGTATTTTAATTAAATAAATGTAGGTAATATAATGTATGAACTTATCGAAAATGAATTGGGACAAATTGAAGCAATATGTGTCACTGCCACACCGTAAAACTGCTGCGGATTGTTTACACATTAGACATTTATCTTTCCAGGACGAGAAGAACCAGATCCTGACAACAAATTGCTGGATTACTCAAATCTGGATCGACCACCATCTACGATGGAACTCTTCAGACTTCGCTGGGATTACAGTCATCAGGATCCCGTACAATAGGGTTTGGAGGCCGGACTTAATCTTATATAACAAGTTAGTAGTAGCCATGTTATCAGGAAGTTTGCATGCAGAATGGGGGATAATGGGAACGGTTATATATTTCATTTTCGATCTTCCATACTTCAACATCGTTTTCTACCCCCTTATTCGGTTTTAAGTTAGTTAAAAATTGTAGTCTGGCATGTTTCAGTTACTCGTTCCTTGTTGACTTCTGTTTACGTTAAAAAATGAAACAAGTCCTACAAGTTTTTTAGGATATCGTAAACTATTATACTATACGGGGTCGTTTAAATTACAAATAAAGTTAAGATATTAAGCGAATTCAAATAAAAATTTTCTTAAAATCCTATTAATTGACGTTTCGTCAAGATTGTTATGATGTTGCAGAAAACAACTACTCTCTATTCTACCATCAAACGGCATGGTGGATGGAAAATATAGCTGTTCCTTACAAGAAGAGACATCCGTAACTGATGCAAATTCTTCACAAACTTCGGCAGATGTTATGTGTTCCGAAAATGATGCCAACAATGATACAAGGGTTGTTATTAATGGAAAGGTTAAGTTAAATGTGATTTGATTTATTATTTTTTCATTATTCTACTAGTGAAATAAAGTTACTTTATTCCACAAGTGTTATTACTTTAGACGTTTCATATGTGTGGATAAAAGCCCGATTATAAGGTGATTGCGATTAAAAATAATTAAAGTTTGACAGCTATAGTTGTAATAGTGATTTAAGTTCATCAACTGTGAAGAGAATAATGGAAAAATTCAGGGGGACTGGATTTATTAGTGATCTTAAATACTCTGTGCGGAAAACCAAACGAAACTAAAACTCATTTTAAGAGAAGCGTTATTCCTAATTTGGAGAACGGAAACAGATTGTTTTTCAAAACGTTAACTAACTGAAGTGAGTGATTTAGTGATGCGTACTTTTTATTTGTCTGTTTTTTTTCTGTGTGTAGCTACGCGAATCTAGTTTCACAGAATAATCCTCGATCAATCCTTTCGCCGCAAGCGCTCGTTTAATTAATTTCTTATTTTATTCACGGGTGGCAAAATATTCAAATAAACAGAGAAAAAATACACGGTATTTGTATGTTTTTCTCCATTTAACCCTACGAATTTACCACCATTTATCTATATTCAAGCACACCATAAAATTCATACATGTTTTTAATAAAAATTAATGCTGTTCAAATATGATTTATATAAAAAACGAAGTTATTGATATTACAAATTCTTTTATTTGCATGTAGGTAATGTATTCCCATTAGAGCAGCATAGTATGGCGTCGTTCGAAGCAGCAAACACCAGGTTTAACAACAACAAATTTAAACGGTCAAAAATATAATTTCCTTCGATTCCGTACTTTGGAAGGTGCTCAAACAATTTTTTTAGCCTTAAAAAACAAATTTTACACTTTTCATTGAGTCATTCCTGAGTGTAATCATTAAACCAGGCATTTATTATACCCTAAAAGCAATTCTCACAGAGATGTAAAAATTAAAGGTAAGACATTTTTCACTTATCTTAATCATCATCGTTGTGCTACGAGACCATTAACGAAAATTGGAGGAGTTTGTTATGTTATTAGAATTAAATTAATATAGCACTTACTTTAATGGAATGAGCGATCTTAATTTGTATTACATTTATCATCCAAAATGAGAAATCCCTGCTCAACTCATTCATAGATTAAAGGTAGAATATACAGGGCTGCCTAAAGGTTTACTCACCAAAGTTTTATAAATCAGAAATTCTGATGGATCAAATAATGAAAAAAGATAAGTGAAAAACAACACATAATATTTGGAAAACTTTAACGATATACTTATTTTATCATATTTCTGGATTTTGTTTTCTAAGAAATCTCAGTTTCTGTGACTTTTTTCATATAATTTCACTTTTACCGCCAAAGCAATAATCACTAAACATACAGTTTTAAATTACCAATATTTTATTATTATATTATTAGGTTTATGCTCTCATTTAATTGTAATTTGAAGTATAGTAGAGTTTTGTATTTCTAGCTCATACGTCTGTCCATAATAAAGCTTCAAATACAAGCTGATGAAGAAACGTGCTTCTTTGTACTCATATAATAAAATAACGAATTCCCAAGGGCTTTGCTGAAACGAAAACAAACGCGGATAATATTGAACAGTTCCTTTTGATTTTATATATTTGGCTATTCATTCGAGCTGTTCTTTGAACTATATCCAATATGGCGAGACTTCATTTATCTCATTTGCTTTATATGATATAACCATAGGAAGGTGATCTAAATACACAGAATATATAAATGTTCTATGGTATTACTTGCTAGAATATTTTTCTTGGTTGATTATTTACTGTTAAAGGAGACGCTGGTAATAGGAAACGTAATGTCTATTACCAAGAACATTCATTTTTAGTCCTTAAAGTATTACTTTTTTGACATTAAATAAATTTATAACAAAAATGTGAATTTTAACTTGAAATAATAAATAAGATCTGTACCTAAAATTTACTTGCAAAGAAGCTCTACTTTTTAATAAAAAAACAGTCAATTTAGGCTTGGTCGCCTAAAATTAAATATGACTTTTATTCTAAAAATATAGTTTCTGATCTTCTTATATGCGAAAACTAAATCAAGTACGATCTTATACCACCAACAGCTGATGTTATTTATCCACTTACTCGACTATGCAAAACATAAATCACATAATTTATTTACTCTACTTCATATGTGTTTGATATCTCACTCTTCATTAATCAAATCGAATGAGTTTCGTCGGAGATAATCTAACGAAGTTTGGCCTAAAACTTTACTTAAATCAAATCAGAAGCGATATATTTCTGCTCATACTCCCTCGAGATTCTTCACCAACTTAAAAAAGCACAGATAGACAACGTGCGTGCACCTCTTCCGGCATTTTACGAAATAAATTATAAATGGTAGATGATACCAAAAAAGAATTTAAGAGTCGAGCAAAATAGATGATTTATTAACCAAAGATTGTCGGGCTTGTAGAAATAGCTGAAGGGTGGTAAACGCAGTCGCATAGGTACTGCAAAAACTGGGGTGTCTGTCGATACAGAAAGTTTGCTAATTAGATTAATTAAAATACTTAAAATTTAGATCACTTTCAATGTCGTAGTCATAACAGTAGTACGGTGACGAAGCGAGAAAATTTAGAGTTATCGTCAACATAATAAAAAAACCTTTATAAAACAATTCCTTTAGAGCTTTACAACCCTTCAAAGATGGGATGTGAAACATAGGTTTATTTAGATATTTATTTAGTGAAAATACGTCTAGTGGGTAAAATCCCTTTATCGGAGTATATACTAAAATAAGTATACAAGTGTACAGTATAAGCCTAGGATTACATATAAGCACGCACATATTTCGTGATTATATTAATTTTTTAGTTAAATTTGAAAATTTGTACGTTCTCTAGAGACAAAGATGGAATCTTAGTAAGTTTTGATGTGACGTCCTTATTCACAAAGTGACAATTAAAGAAAGTTTAAGAAACTTCATCTAAGGCTCGTTATAGAAGGCACAGATGAGAATTTAGTAGACTTGGCAAAGATATGCACCACACAGATTTTTTTCTCCAATTTCACTAATTTTATTACATGAAGGAGCAACTCTTGGTCCCAGCCATGATCTACAAAACTCACAACTAACTGATCTAATATCATAATTCTAGTAAGAGAGAGAAGATTTTGGCCTAGACCTTACAGGGAGGCAATAGAAATCCAGACGAATCTAATTAATTTCAATCGATATGAAAGATATGAACTACCTGCGTGGAATTTGGAAATGACGCTAAAATCAAGAACCAGGACTACACTGACTGATGATACAAGCCATGAACTTCATCGCCTTGGAGAAGTTCACATAGCAAATAATAAGAAGATTTAATCTTTAGTCTCAAAGTTTCTTTTGAAGAAGAGAGAGATATGTCTCTCGAAACGTCAAGAAGTTTAAACCGACGGCGTGGCAACCAGCTCATAAACTAACTGGAAATTTGTCAAGGGATTTGAGAGTATTTTAAAGTCGTCTGTAAAGAAAGTATTACCGCCATTCAAGTGATAAAGCAGCAAGGAGGATGTAAAGTAGTGGATCTAAAGCAAACCCCTGATATAATTCAGAGTTGTCAGGAAACTGAAAATGGTCTCTTGAAACTCTCACTAGGCATTGTGCATCAAATGGACCAGTCTTTGTTTTGGAATTCGTCAAATGCCTTGTAGTCCAGTCACTGAATCATTTTGGCTACCAATTTTTTCGGATGGAATGGATTGACGTGAAATTTGAACTGTAGTTAGGAAATAGCCCAAGAAGTTATATAGTGCCGATGTGTGCTTTTACTCTAGGGGTGGATGCCACCCGTTCTGGAGGGTGGGATTTTTTTTATTAAAAATAACCTCACGATTCAATAGAAGGACGAATTCTAATAAAAAAATGTTCTATCAGAATTTTTTGTACAGTTAATACTTTTTGAGTTATTTGCGCCTAAACATGTTCGTTTTTAGCTCAAAAAATGCATGTTTTTGAGCCGTTTTTCGCTAATATCTCAAAAACTACTAGTTTTATCAAAGAAATGCTCATAAGCAAAAATGAAGGTAACTAAATAGCAGAGATTGCTTTTTTATTTTTGTAGGTGGTATAGAACCCGAGTTATGACTCCTAGAAGTTGAAGTTAATTTCGAAGAAAATATAGTCGAAACGTTCAACGTCCTGTTGCGGAAAAATTAAAGGTTTTTCGAGAAAAACTTATATAACACTTATTAAAGTTCTTGAAAAAACCTTTAAATTGGTAAAAGGCGTTAGCATGAAAACTAATGAAGTTACAATCAAAACAAAATGATTGTCTTGATTTTTAAGGAAAAAAATCGGTATTAAAATTAATGACTAGACGGAAAAAAAATTAAACTTGTTCCTTCTGCAATTTACTTTATTTATGTATTAACAGTAGATTGTGAGAATTTGAACGATTTTAGAAGCCTAAATTTAAAAAAATATTTCATTTACTTTGGAATAAAATGTTTAAATTTTTTAAAAAATCGCCTTTTTGGAGAAGTCTATATATATCAACACAGCTAAATCTGTCCACAATTTGAGTGTAAATGTGCAGGCGAGTACGAAATTTGCACATGATGATCCCATGTCCCTATTGGCAATCAACAGCAAATTTTTCACTTTCTCGTAGTCACATATTATAATGTTGTATTAGTTTAACAAATTGCTATTGAAACAACTTGAACAACACATGAAATTATCGCGTGATCGGAACGACCAATAGGTTGTTGCTACAATTATAAAATTAAATTATCGTTGTTTGTTAAAATCAGGTCTTAAGTGGATAATATTTTTTTAACCGAAATATAGTGGATTCCTTTAAGAGTTGCGTTAAATTGGAATTCAAAATATTCGCAAACAAGGCAGCTGAACTATAATTATCAGAATATTCGAGACTATTCCAGTTAATGTGAGGGGAAATAAAAGAAACACATACAAATAAATTAGAATGAACCTTGCTCATATTTTTAATGCCAAGAAACAATTCTGTTCATTCATTTATTCAATTTCCATCATATTTCTAATTTCGTCATTTTTCATAAATCAAATTCAGCAAATAAAAGCGTATAAATATACATATACAAAAACATCCATATTGATCATGATTTAGGAAGAATGTAATCAATCCCAATTTGCAACTTGCTTGTTTAAAAATAGTAAACAAATCGTCTGTAAGCAGTTCCCGTACCCATCCTATATATATAGAGGTGTCAGCAGAGGGGTTAATAGCTTTAAACCGCGTCATGTAGGTGGTCTAACTACTGTATTCCAATTTCAGCGCCGATCCCCAGTTCCAGTCGTCCGTGATTAACACCAACGTGATCGTGTCCAGCACGGGAGAGGTGGTCTGGCTCAGCCACGGCATCTACCGCTCGTCCTGCGACATCAACGTCGAATACTTCCCCTTCGACCTGCAGAGTTGCCACATGAAGTGGGCTTCCTGGACGTATGACGGCTATCAGGTAAATGAATCACGTTCTTTTTTATTTCAAGCACTAGGTTCATTCCCACTATTCAAATTGGAATTTTTTGTTTTACCTTATTTATTTTTTACTTTTCAAAATTAATTTTCGGCTGTTAATTTGCTTCAGTATGTTATCGATTCATTGAAGCACTTGCAGTGAATATTTCCAAATTACAATGCCTTTATTTTTCGACAAAGTGTATGATTTTACTTAAAAAAACGAACAAATTATATAAACAGCAGGGCTACCCGATGTTTATGTACAATGTGACCTATTTCAGGTGGAAAGTTACTTCTTTTTATTGTCAACTTTGACAAACATTGGTTAACGATCTTTTATTTACAATTTGACAAAGAATCTGGTAGGTAATTGTTTTTGATGTTTCTTTCAATTGTATAATTTTTATAACAACTGGAATATAATCGATATTACTTTAAGAGGAAGTGTTTCTTTGGGAGTATTAATAAAAAAACAGCATGTATTGTGCAATACACCAGGTTATTAAGCACATATGTACTATAACAATGATTATAAAAAAGGTGTCAAAGAGAAAACCTCCCAGAAAGTGAACAAAGCACATTTACGTTAGAGTTGAAAGAAAAGAACGAGTTCTTGCGTGTCTATACGCATCGATGTATTTCTGTGCTCTAACAGGCATGTCTGGGGATAGAGAAACAGAAAGGGTTATTTTAGAAGACAGATTTATGTGAATCCTTCTATTTACACGCGTAAATCCTTCTAAAGGGGCAGTAGAGTAGATTGATTTAGTGTGCCTCACTTTAAAATCACCACTGGAAAAAATTTATCTGTAATAGGATTTCAACGAGCACTTTTTCTACATCACTTGAAAGTTCTGTTTGTTCTCAACAAATTTTATTAAAAAAGGTTTGTATTTTCCCTTCCAAAATGTAGATTATATGAGAGGATAATTATAGAGAAATTAAACAATAAGAGATCACTTTTATACTGACCTGATAGAAGTGTTTTTCTCTAATCACATTTTATTTCACATAAATATTGTGAATAGGGTAATTACAAAAAAAACATTTTTAATAAAAGTTGTGCATAACAATGAGATGAGAATACCTCACACCCTTATGTAGGTAGGTAAACCTACCAATATGCAATTTTAAGGTTCATACAGGCAAATATAATAAAACATTTTTGTCCTAAAGAATCAAAAACTGTAAGTATAAAACTGGAAATATCCTATTTTGGCCTTCATCCACGACTATACAATTCGACTAATTTAACTTCAACTGAAAATTCACTGTTGATTTGAGAATTTTAACTTAGCGAAGTAATAGTGAAAATGTAATTAATTGTCACTTTGATTGCCCTATATTTATTTGATAGGTAAAACTAATAGGCGAGCGGTTCACCCGTAAATAAAAGGCATGAACCGACTAAATTTTTAAAACAAAACCTAGAGCATGAAACTTTTTTTATTTTAGTGTATTTTTCTGATAATTTACATATTTTTTTATATTTTTCGGCGTGGTCAGTCAATTATAAACAAAAAAGTTGTAAAAAAAAATTACTCGCCGAATGGCTTTGAAAACAGTTTTTATTGTAAAATGGACCAAAATAAACACTTTGTTCTATGACAAAAATTTGAAAAATGCTACGTTTCCGAGATATTTACAATTTAATGTGAAAAAATTGACGAAATCGACAAACTTTCGGAATTTTTTTCTCCAAAACTACTGAACAGATTTTAATACTAAAAAAAAAACATAATAATCGGCAGATTTTCTACTTTAAGATATATTTTTTTGGTATGGGTCAATCATTTTATTGAAGGTCTACAGCGAATAAAAAAAAGTCTTTTAAAGAAAATTATGAAAACACTTCAAATTTAAATTTTCTTTTTACAATATCTTGGATTATATTATATTTACAATAAACATTATTATGATTTTTTTAAATCGATATATGTTAACAGTACAAATGTTCAAAAGATTATTTTGTTTGGTTTTATAGCCGGAGTAAGGTTTTGGCAAGTAATTAGTAAAATTTAAATATTCGATTTTTGGTCTTATAAATGGCTTGAAAGTTATACCAAAACTAAACTAAATAAGCTTTTTAAATCGGAAAATTAACCTAATAATAATAATAATTGACCTAGCGGTCTCGAAAAATATAAAAGTTATTGGATAATTTATTGTATAAGATATTATTTTATTTTTATTTTACAAAAAAAGAGCAATAAAAGTATATTAATTTCTTTTTTATTTAGTTTTTAAATAATAAGTTTTTCGTTATTTTCGATAGTCCAAGATATTGTAAAATGAAAATTTAAATCTGAACTGTTTCGCGCGCGACGTAGCGCCACTCACGCCGCCATTTTGATGCGTATGTTTATCATGATTTTCTTTAAAAGACTATTTTTTTACTCGCTTTAAACCTTCAGTAAACTAATTGACCTATACCAAAAAATATTATGCTTTTTTTAGAATTAAACTGTTCAGTAGTTTTTGAGAAAAAAAATCCGAAAGTTTGTCGATTTCGTCAATTTTTCCACATTAAATTGGAAATATCTCGGAAACGAAGCATTTTTTGAATTTTTGTCAAAGAACAAAAAAGTGTTTATTTTGGTCCATTGTCCAAAACTGTTTTCAAAGTATTCGGCGAGTAATTTTTTTTACAACTTTTTTGTTTATAACAATTGACTGACCACGCCGAAAAATATTTAAAAAATATGTAAATTATCGGAAAAATACACTATAAAATAAAAAAAGTTTCATGCTGTAGGTTTTTGTTTTAAAAATTTAGTCCGTTACCTTCATTTAGAAGCATCTTTTCTAGGGGTGAACCGCTCGCCTATAATAATATACAGTTTTTAATATTGTGCAATTTTGAGATGCGAAAGCAAAATTAAGATATTTTTAAGGCTGTACTATTATTGTAAGGACAAATAAATTAGTTTTCTTTTAATGTCGATGATTCAAAGTACTCGGTTTTCCTAATAATGTATGTACTGTGGAAAATAATCATGTTAATTTAATTAATATTTATATTTGTATTAAAAAGTAATAAGAAGAATAAATGTCACTTTTTATTTAAAAATTACTTTGAAATATTTTTAATTTACAAAATGATATCTGAAATATTTTATAATGTAAGTTAAAAATAACAGCGGATACCTCCCTCGTATTTGTGGAGCGAATTCCATTAAAATTTATGCTGTGTGAACGTATTAACAAAAAAGGTATATTTTTCTTTGTTTCCCGAAACAAAGAGAATTACATGTACAGCATGCAAGAAAAACAATGGCAACTTCAATGTAATCATGCATTGTGCATGTCCCTACCTTCTCCAGTTCAGAGCTGTTAAAATTCGCATTTGGAACTGCTTTTGCAATAGTTATAACTATTAATTATTCCTATTCTCTAGTACGTACTACTAGTATGTGGTATATAAGAAATAAAAAGAAATCTATTGTACATCACATAACAGGGGAGCAGTTATTATGTGAGTAAACAGTACAAATTGATACAGATTAATTAATTTCTTAGGTAGGTAATAATTTCAAATCAATTTCTTCGAAACTTCGGTAATTAGGTGCCTACTTGAAAGACTGGCAATATATTTATTCAGTTGTCTTTAGAGATATTGATTACCATGAAAAACGTTTCAAAATGTACGAATGGTTAATTAATTAAAGCCTTTCAAAATAATAAAGAAAGCCATACTGTGTACCAGAAAGGCGACAAGAATTCGAGATGGGAATGTCTAATATACCCGAATTGCAGCAAATTTCTGCCTCGCCTTTATATTATCCATTACGGTTGATAACTCAGATGAAATTTAATTCAGTGGATTAATTCGCAAGACTCGAATTTACTGAATAGAAAGTAAAAAATATACAAGGTGTACAAACTTTGAAACGATATTTGAAAAGTAAATAAATCGAGTTGCGACCATCCGGTTGCCTCAAATATTTTTTGCAAATAGAATAACCCTTTTTAGTACCAACTGCCTTACCACAGCAATATGAAGAAACATTTTTGGAACTGCTCACTTCATCGATGTCTCGGTAATAGAGAATGTGCACATTTTTAAAAAATACAATGACATTCTGCAGAACAAAATAAGAATATTCATTGTTGGTGGTAGATTAATTATCAATTTTTTGGTCACCATAACAATATTTAAATCGTAGACAGTTTCTACACAAAAACTGTGACGTAACATCGCACATTGAGAAAAAAAGAAAAAATAAATTAAATGCAGGTTAGTAAATGATAATACCACATATGACGCGTGAATGTCCATAGAACGGTATGAAGTAACAGCCAATGATAAACTGTTTTACTGCACATGAGAAATTTTGGGATTTGTATAGATTATTGGGTGATAGTGTCATTAATTTCTTATAAATTAAAATTTTAACAAAATTTTTTTGCATGTTGAATAAAATATAATATTTCCTTTCCTAAGCATCTGTAGTTGCCAAGTGCCTGCACAAACAAGTGACTCCAAAGATAAAAGTCCATTGGAGTTAGATCGGGTGACTGAGGTGGCCATGGCACAGGACCAAAGCGTCCAATCCATCGCTGAGGAAACATTTCATTCAAAAGTGTCTTTACTTCTCGAGTACTGTGTGGAGGAGCCCCATCTTGAAGATAAAAAATGCGTGCCCGAACTTGTAATGCCACATCCTCCAATAATTTAGGCAACCGGTTCTCCACAAAGTCAGCATATGGTGTCCTTCAAAGAAATAGGGACCCACAAGTACATCGCCTATTATGCCATCCCAAACATTTACCGAGAACCGATGTTGAAAATGAGTTTCCCTAATCGCGCGACGATTTTCATCGGCCCATATGTGCATATTATGGAAATTCACTTCATCGCGGGTAAATGTCGCCTCATCTGTTACACAAACATAAGCAGGAAAGTCTACTTGATTGGTACATTGCCGTAAAAACCATCTGCAAAAACGCATTCGTTGATCACAATCTGGGGGTAAAATCTGTTGAACTGGTTGCAGA